CCCTAAACCCTGAACCTTATAAACCCGAATCCTTAAACCCTGAACCCTAAGCCCTAAACCCCCAAAGAGCCCCAACAGACCAGGCCCCTAGTTTGGGAACGCACCCCTTGTCGCTCTGGGTTTAGGGTTTAGGGTTTAGGGTTTAGGGTTTAGGGTTTAGGGTTTAGGGTTTAGGGCATATTGGGAGTTTCCGAAAACAAGGGGTACCTTATCTCGGGGTCCTTATAATAAGGATCCTGCTATTTAGGGTACTATATTAGGGTCCCCTATTTTCCGAAACCCCCACATGGCACAGGCAAGTTTCAGGAATACCTCCAAGAAGAGCTTTCCTTCGTTAAGGTGCCTCATTTGGGCGGGAAGGTGGGTTCGATGAGTCGGTTCAGGGGTTGAGGGTTGAGGGTTTAGGCTTCAGGGATGTGCTTCTGGATAGCAAGTCATTTGGAGGTTTTAGGGTTTACGGTTTGGGGTTTAGGGTTTAGGGCTTGGTGCAGCTAGCAGCTAGCAGAGAAGACGACCGGAAAGCGAAAGGCTGAAACTAGCGCTTCTAGTATAGGGGCTTCAAGAATTAGATCAGGCTTGTTTTTGCTGCAGCAAAGGTGAGTAGCATTATCCATTCAGATTTACATATTGTATATGCCCTATCGTATAGCACAAAACCCTGTTCTACTGATCAAGCCTCCTATCTCAAGAACAGTAAGTACATATATATATATATATATATATTGTATTTTCAATTTATAGTATAGTATACAAGATCTTTTAGATGAAAAAGAAATATATCATTAGGCTGATATCTTAGGCTTCAGCTTAAAGGTCTTCTTCAGGGATTTCTGTTGCAAGTCACTGTATGTCTTCAAGGCTTCAGGTTGCACTCGAAGCGCTACAGCCTCCCATCTCTGGGCTTCATCCCAATGTATGGTTGAGGCTTTCAGGAATAGTAGGGTGTTGGGTTCAGGGTTTAGGGTTTAGAGGTTTTGGGTGTAGGGTTTAGAGGTTTAGTTTTTGTGGCTTAGGGCTCATGGACCTACAGTTTTGCGATGGCATTACCTAAAGCCTCCAGAGGCCGAATGAACCGTAATGGCTCTCCACTGCTGCTGGATCGAGCCTTTGGAAGATAGGTACAATTGAATGAATGATCATGAGTTCCACCGTAATGTCAGCGAGTCAGCGCGACTTATGATTCGGGTTCAGACGCAGCTAACTACTCCCCTACTTCTACTTGACGGGACTCTGGTAGTAAAGGGCGACCTTTGCATCTATTCCTTCCGGACCATGGGCAGTTGTAAATCAGGCAATGCAGTGTTCCTACATTCCGCTTCGAAAAAGCAAGCTTCAAATCGGCGGTTCGGATGCCTACTATAGAGGCCGGAAGAATTACCAATATTATTCCTCCAGTTTCGTGTTTTTTGCAATCATACCGTACCCCAAAGCCCCATCCCAAATATTGATATTGCAGTCTTTATGGTTCAGGGTTTGAGGGGGTGTAACTCCAAACCGCTGTCTTCAACCTCAAGCACCTGCTACATCTTGAAACAGGCTCGAGGATCCGATAAGCTCAGGGTTTTTGTTGAGGGTTTAGGGTTT